GGGGGGGGGGGGGGGGGGGGGGGGGGGGGGGGGGGGGGGGGGGGGGGGGGGGGGGGGGGGGGGGGGATTAATCATCTCCCTGCCTGGGTCTTGAGCAGCGCTGCCACCTCCCGAGCTGCTCGGTTCTCCCTGACACCTCTCCCTAGAGCAGCAGGGCTAGAAGGGACCTCATGGACCACCCAGCGTGGCCCCTCATCGCGTGGAAGGCCTGTCCCCCCTCAGGGGCTTCAGACTGGCCCAAGGTCACGCGGCTAATCAGAGCTGCGTCTCTCAGCCCGGTGTCAGGCCTGAGCTCCCTTTTCTCCTTCCAAGTTCTGCAAATCCTTGCTCTTTGAGCCCCAGGCTTCCACAGAATGCTCCGGGGCAGCCTTCACACCCTTCCCCTGCTTTAACCAGGGCAGCTGAGCCTCGGTCTGTCGTATAATGAGCTCCTATGTGCGATTCGATTTGGGAAAGAAGGGTTCTCCTGGTAAAGCTGCCAGCACTTACACCCCTGCACTCAGCTGCTGCTGAGTGCGAGGATGGAGCTCAGGAAGCGTGGCCCTTGGGAGCGAGCAGAGCGGCTGCGGCCTGAGCAGCAGGGCAGAAGGTCTTCCAGAGCTAGTTAGGGGAGGAGGTCCCTTGCCCTAAGAATGGAGCCGGTGAGGTCCGGAGCAGGGCGGCTGGCAGTCCTACCTGGAGGCAGGCAAAGAGAGGGATGTGTGTCCCCAGAGGAGGGCCAGGAGGTGGAGGAAAGGGTTGTTGAGAGGGAGCTGGTGGCGGGGCGGCTGCCCAGGGCTGCGGCATCAGCTGGTGACAGTGGCTGGGGCTCCCTGGGCTGCGGGACCTACACGGTCCACCCTGGCCTGGCCCTGGCGCCCGAGAGGGCGACGTGTTGGCTGCTGGGTTTCCCCAACCCTGCTTCCCCAGGCTGCGCCACGAGCTCAGGCCTGCGCTGGGCTGGAGGGTCCCACACCTTCCAAGGCCCTCCGGGACACCCCTCGCTCCCCCTGTCTCTTCAGCTGCTGGGCTCCCGAGAAGGTGGCAGGGCATCCTTCCTGGCCTTTAGCCTTGTACTTAAGAGGCTGGCCTATGTTGGAAGCTTGGTTCCTTCTTTTACTAGCTGGCCTGTCCTGGGAACGTTATTGACCCCCACGAGGCTCAGAGTCCTCCCCTGCAGAATGGGGGTGACCCGCCCGTCCCTCAGGGTTGCCGGGGGCCTCTTATCAGAGGTATCTGGGAGCCGCTGGGAGCGACGCCCGGTGTTGTGTGAGCACATGTCAGAGCCCGCGCTTCTGCCTTTATTTATTGATTCGTTAGTCACCGTAGTCAACAAATACTTGTGTGCTCCTGAATGAAGCCCTTCGCTGCCATTTGTTTATTCCTGGGGCTCCTGTGGAGCCGCCCAGAAGCCTGGCCTTCACCCCCGCTGCCCTTTCCTCCACATTTTCTCCTCTGTAGAGGAGGACCTCTGTGCTTGGTGGAGATCACGCTTCTCCTGGGGTGGGAGTGAGGGGTGACCACGTCCCCTGGGTGAGCGGCGGGGTCTTGGGGCAAAGCTGGGGGGTCACTTGAGGACGGGCCCCGAGACCCTCAGGGCCAGGACCCGCCTGGGGTGAGTCACTTCCCGAGACCAGGCTCTGACAGATCACACACCGACTTGTCCCAGGTCCCACAAACAAACCGGTGGCTCCCCTGAGGGCTGAGCGGCCTGTGCTCAGGCCCAAGGAATCCTGGGGGCTCCAGCCCAGATGCGCCTGTCGGGGGAGGAGCCCCCGCCCAGTGGCCCGATCTCCCTCGGGGGGGATGGGTCCCTCAGTTTTGCAGGGCACAGCTGACCCCAAACTGTGCACTCAGTTCGGTGGGTCCAGAGGAAAGCGAGCTGAAGTGGACCTTTCTCATCTGGACCTGGGCAGCGAGGAAGGGGTGGGGCATTGGGGCCTGGCCGGAAGGAACCATGGGTTCCCGTGGAGTGAGTGAGTGAATGAATGATCACAGAGGCCCCGGGGAATCTGGTTTAAACCCCGTGGTCAAGGCCGTGGGTCCTAGATTGGAGCCCTGCCCCATCCCCACGCAGGTGGAGTACAGACCTGAGAAGCAGGAGGAACTGAGGTTTTCACCAAGAGCTACCCTGACACCAGACTTGGGCGGTTCTGGAAGGTTGCCTGGGGCAATGGGCAGATTGCCATTGGGGGGTGCCTAGGATTTGCTCCCCCTTTGCGCTCTTGCTTATCAAGGCAGAGATCTGGTGACCCCAGCCCCCCCTGCCCCAGGGAGGAGGAACGCCCTGCCCTCTGAGGTTGACACTTGCACTCGGTTCCACATTTGGTGGCGCCTGTGTGTTCCGGGTGCCGTGGCGGATGCGCCCCGTCCTGTGGTCTTTTCTCTCCCTGCCGGGCAACTTCTGCACACTCTCTTTTCAAACCTTTCACACCTCTCCGCTCTGCCTCCTTTGCCCATCTTGAAAGAGAAAACATGACTTAAGATCTGTGTGTTTATTGTATGTAAATGACACCTCTATTAAGACAGCAATCTTGGCGTCCACGTCCTCCTCCAGGTACTGTCTCATCTTGGTGGCTTTTCTTCTCGACAAACCTCAGCAGTTGCCTGCCGTCACCAGCTTCTCTTTCTCGGGTCCCCTTCTCCCCTTACTTGTCCAGTCGGCTTCTTTCTAAGGGTCCGGAAGCCTCTGTGCTCAACACTGCCTCCTGGTGGTCTTGACTTTCCAGCGATGTGGACAGGGCTGGCTCCTCTCCAGCTCAGTTCCTCCCGGGTTTCCTCCCGCGGACATCTCACCAAACCCCTGCCTCCCTGATGGTCCCCAGCCTTCTAAGAGCAGGCACCAGGAGCTGCTCAGGCCAGAAAATCTAGTTTTCCTTGATTTTTCTCATTTCCTCGCCCCTCATCCGCATCCAGCCCATCAGCAAACCCAGTTGGCTGTGCCTTCAAAATGTGTCCCGAATCCACCACTTTTCCCGTCTCGCTGTCACCAGCCCAGGTAACATCGCCGTAGCTCGCGCCCTGGCAAGGGCCCCACCCCCACC